GCCTACAACCAATTTAGAATAGTCAGCTAACCAATCATACGTGTCTTTGGATGGTGGGAGGTAGCTAGAGTATCCAGAAGAAGCCCACTCAGACACAACGAGAGCATGCAGACTCCATACATAAAGGCCCCTGTCTGGAGTCAAACACAGGAGCTTTTTGCTGTAAGGTGACACTGCAAACCACAGTACCACCATATAATAGGGATGCTAGGGATAATAACAAAAATGTTTAAAATTTTACAGTAAAATGTTGGTGAGACATGAGATAATTTGCTTTATCCTATAAAGCACCATCCAGTGCTATGACCTTTTCATCACATTGACCACAATGTTTCATTTATGACAACTGTAATCTGTCTAATCTGATCTAATCTCTATCTTGTGTTGAGTATTATAGTCTATATTGGCAGTAATAAATGGGTGTATGCTAATGTTTAATAGGCATTTTAAAAAGTGTTATCATTTCCGTGAAGCTGCCCTGAGACCTTATATAATTCAAAGGATGAAAACAGGAAAAGCCCATTTTGTGTGTCCTTAGGAGTATCTATGGGAGGATCTGGCCAGTAAGCTTTGGTTTTGTCTGGCAGGCTGTGGTGTTGTGTAGGTTGTCATAGTTAATATGGGGTTAAGATGAGATGGGTGGAATAATAACGCTGACATAACAAGGTGTGGGTGAAAATGAAGAGAAGGTAGAGTCAGTTGTCCCTTCCCAACAGAGGTTGAATGAAGCAGAAGCATGTTTCAGCAAGAGCCAGCATTTGTATAAATGAAAAGAGAAATTATTTCTCAGATTATGCACACCGCTACTCCGACATCATGGCTACAGGGATTTTGGAAATTCAGAGTGTGATTTTATAAAACCTTGAAGGCACTCTTCAAAGGTATAAACTGGGAAGGTGTGGTGCAAGAGATCAAATTGGGAGGAGTTTCTTTTTTCAATTTTCTAAATATTCAATATATCCATGTGTCTAAGAAATCCCTGAAGTGAGGTTTAATTACCCTCCAAACGACCCCCCCCCCTCTCTTCCACCCACTGTTGTTGACTGGCTCGGCCGGTTATGTAACACATTTATGCCTTGCGCACGTGGCTACAGTCATTATAAATGACAATATGTGGACGGATTAAACATTACCATCCACCCCTGAAACCAAACAGCCCGCATTTCACCTCTAAGGCACAGGATAAGAGTGAGGTCAATGAACGCTGTGGCCAATTAATCGATTTTCTACCGAGGAGCTCGCACTCATCCGTTCAGTCCCGACCATAAAAACCAATCCAGGGATTGAACAGGACAGTGTGTTTGCTCTTAACTCGATCTGAGGGTACACTCAGTTCAGCGTGACCGGTTGTTGGTTGTGTCATCCTTACCAGGAAAAATGCATTGAACGGGTATTATTCGATGGGCCTCCTGGCATTTATCTCAAGAGGGCAATGAGCAAACACTGATTTAAAGCAAAGTTCATACACTCGTTGAAAATGTTAATTAAAAAAATAAAATAAAAAATGAATGCGATTGGATGATCACTCGGATATCTTCTGAATAAAAAAAATTAAACCACATTTAGAGATGCAAATTATGCGCATATTAATCGTATTGTTGTAATTCCCCCTCTCACCCCTCATATGGTACCACCACTAGACTGACCACCACTCTCTCTCTCTCCCTTTCCTTCCCTGTCTCACGTTATTCCCCCTCCTTCATCTAAAAGCTGTCATCCTGAGCGGTACTGAGTCGACGGCTCAATCCCTAAACGCCCGGATGAGAGCGGCAGGCGACATTCAGGGCAATACAGTCGCATGAGTCGACCGACTGGAAGGCAACCAGTCCAGGGGGGGACGACAGCGAGTGCAGGAATCTGAAAATTTTCGACGCAACCCACGAAGATCGCTGTGGGAAAAATTCAGACAGAGACAGAGGCGTGGAGGCGAAGAGGAGCGGCGCGTTCCCCCCTCCTCTTGCGGTGTCCTATTTCGTTGGTAAGTACATTTTGCCCATTAAAAAAAACCCGCTGCACATGTGCCTTTTCCTCTTCCACGGGACTCGTGTCTCGTTTCGCCACTTTCCCTGCGCGTTTGTTGTGGTCTGCGTCCCCGCGGGCTGCGTTTAAGGAAGAAGAGGCCTGGTAAGTAGCAATATAGCGGCAAAGAGGCATGTGTGTACATTAAAATGGGCTGCAGCAGCTCACGGGCACGCTACGGTGATTCCGAATTGTACTCCTGTTACGTTGACGGACAGCGCCGCGAACGTCACATTTTACCGTGAGTGGCAACATTTTTGTTTTATTTCTGTGCGCTCGTTCCTGTTGTTGCTGCTGATCGCACGCGACAAAACCAGTGAATGAAGCTACACGTGTGTGTGACTCCACATCTGAGAGTCACCAGCTCTTATTCACTGTCCGCTCTGAACCACCGTAGCCGGCCATGGCTTGAATTTGAGAGCTGCTTTCAGTGCCTGATAAATCATTTAGTTGTTAATCACACGCGCGCATTTCTCCCAGGGCTTTTCGTGAGCAGACCAAACGCTGAGGACAACGGTGGTCTCCACTGGGCATGCGCACTACCGCCCCCTTTGACCTATAATATTAATCAGTTGAGAGTAGTAGTAGTCTGTCCTGCACCTCTCAAAAGTGCATCGGGTCGCTTCTCCGGTTTGTTGACAGAACGATTATTGAGTGGAACATCAGGCGAGTGAGTCGGGCAGCACAAGCAAATAAAGCAGATCCTGTTATTCACGAGCAGAAATGAATCTGTGATGGCAAGCTCTGTAGCTCAAGGCAAGCCTCATTGTCACCATGATGACTATTTTCCAAAGAGAAATATCACAGGGCTGTGGGAAGAATAACAGAATGAACTGGGCAAAACGCTACAGACTGCTTACTCAGAACAAAAATATCACAGTGTAAAAATACGCCATCACAAAATTACTGAAATGTCACGCAAGTGAAAGTAAGATAGTAAGCAAACATTATGCAAATACTCAGAGGTAGGAGTGCCAAATAAAAAGTCCCTGGTAATATATTTTGGCTAGGCTCGTTTTTTTTTTTATGTTTTTTTTTTACGTAAACTATTTTAAGTGTATGTGAAAACAAATAAAGTAAATTTCAAGTACCTTAAGTTGGGCACCAAAGTGTATGCACTTAGCTATTTTCATAGTTAATAAAAAGTGCTGATTGTCATATTCTAGGCAAATCCAGTTGTCCTCTTGTCTTCTTTAACAATATTTCACTACGTTAATGATATCTGTTGCTACTGCTTGCATAGGAAGTGGAAGTCACATATTACTTATGGACCCATGATGCAGTTTTCTAGTTAATCATTAGTCTGCGTGCTATGATAAGCAGTGGTGAGAAAGGGGCAAAAATATCAGGGTCTGTCACTACCTTACGTGTTTTCCATTCTCTGCTTTTTCTCCTATATGGTTTTGGTAATAAAATATTAGATCAGTGCTTCGCACAGCAGGGGTTATAACCTGGGAGAATAAAATGCTCTGATTGCTGTGTCTATTCTAGCTTTATCGGCATTAAGACAGATATGGAAGTGCAGAATGATAAGATACGCAGATTAATGACCTCCCTGTCTTTCTACACTTTTATCCTGTTTGTAAACAAAAGCACAACCAACCTAAATGTCCCTGGAGTGAGCTAAAGTTATTTATTTATTTATTTATTTATTTAAATGTTTTTCTTAACTACAGGGTGGAGAATGCTAACAAATATGGTACAGAGCAGGGAAGGGTGTTGGGTAACGGTTTGGCTTGGTACTTGCTGTTCAGGGCGTTTGCACCCATGTGGTAATAATGAAATGGTAGTAGAATTTGTTTGCTTCTCTTTACACCATCCGGCCATTTTTGTGTCTTGGATTAACTTTTTTAATAACATGAACAGTAGCCAGTCTACCTAAGCTGGGCTCACTGGCTTTCACGCAGTTATGCAGGGATTTTAAAACGTAAAGTCCTTACACCTTCGGCTGTGGGTAATCTGCTGCTTTAAAGCAGTCTGATTTACTGACACAGGGAACATTTCAGTTCAACTTCTGTGTTTGAGCGTCAGCTTCTTTTTTTGTTGTACTTATTTACTTGACAGCTTTGGAGAGAAGAAAACATGTTAGTGTGGTTGGACTTCTTTTGACAAAGCTTTTATTAAAGAGTTCCACCACTATCTAGTCGAGTTAAGGTGCGTTCACGGAAACATTACGGTCCACTGTGTTTATGTTTGACTGTACTTTGACCTGCCTTTTGTGAGTGTAATCTTTTTTGAGAGAAAAAAAAACAATCAAACCAAAATGATTCACACTAAATTGCCAGTTCCGTGGCGACAGGGTGCAACCACAGCCTAGACCACATGCTCAATAGTCTCTCTTCTAATGGTTAACCACATGCTCCATGACAGACACCGAGCACCTCATATTTAAGCTTTGCAGCTAAACCTTGTTTAGTAGAACTTTTGTGTGGAAATTAGCCATCAGTGGAGGAGGGCGGGGGGTGAGCCGAGTTTTTATGCATGGAAGAGGTATGTGTACATTGCGTAATGTTTTCATGTTCAACAGTACACTGAGTGAGCAGGCTGGTTTTCGTGGCTGTACTTTTAAATTACAGTTTGTCGTTTCTAAGAACTTTTTGCCCTCTGCGACTTTGCTTTTAGTTCCGGTTCAATGTTATTTTCCCCTGAGGCCTCTCGCGATTACACAAAAATATTTTCTGTCAGCAGGCAGGCTACAGCACTTCATATTATAGTCTCTCTTCATGGAGGAGACCTTCATGTGTTTTGATTGAAGGTGTGATAAAACTCTGAGATTTTTTTGTTAGATTGTTTTTTGTTTTGTTTTTTAAAGTAAAAACCAAACCTGATTTAAATTTGGCTGGTTTTCCCTTCAAGGTTCCTTCCATGTCGTAGAAATGCACGTTCAGATTGCTCCTGTTTTGTTAGGATCGCTCACTTGAAGTCCCACTCTGCCCACTTGCAGGGATATTCACAGGATGTGAATAAACTGTGTCAAAACAACATTTCTAATCATTTCATTTCATTGGGGAAGCTAGGTGCCGTCAAAGGAAGCCAAAGCAGAGGAATTGTGCCAAAAAAAAGCCTAATGGTATGTGATAAAGTTAAGGCTGTTTGGACTGAATGTTCTCTGTCCGATGCCTCAGTGCGTCACAGGTTAATCGGTACTGACAGTCCAACCCTGGTGGATACATTCGCAGTAGAAAAAGACTTGTGTGTTCTTTTACCTTGGATACTTTGAGTATCCTTCTACTAATGTTTGGCCACCAACTGGTGACCCAATTCTTGTCACTAATGATGACATTTTATATTAAATTTGGGTCAGAGTGACACAACATTTGAGATTTTGTTTTATGTACATATTTGAGGTCAACAGTGACCCTACAGGGAATGATTTAAGTGTCGTGGCAGCTTTGGTAGTTATGCAGGGCTGCACAAGGAGGCATTGTTGAAGGGGATAAGCACTAAATTTGAATCAAGTGGGGTTTTTAAAAATTTTTAGGTGAAGTCTTATCTTGTTGAAATAGTGACTGCTTTTCAGATGCACAATGATCTTGGTTAATATACAAATTGCTGCAGAGTTGTCACTGTTGTGCTGACAGCTTGTTTCAGCTCCAACAGTTACTTTTAAGTGTTCAGAATAGCAAAATCCTCATATTTTACATGTCATTAACAATTACTTTGTGGAAAAACATCTACTAAATAACAATAAATGTCTTAATATTACAGCTGGAGTACAACTAAAGCAAAATATTTTTTTTGAATTATTAATTAATCTACAGGTTATTTTCCCAAGAAATGTTTTTGCTCATATGTATTGCAGAGGACAGTGAATCAGAATTTTGCAGGGCCTCCAGTGGCACATTGTTAATAGCAGCCTGAAACCAAGCAGTTTTTATTATTTTATGATGATGTCAAAGAAGACAAAGGAAACAACTTTAAATTAAAATTCTTAAACAAATAATCAAACCCCAATTTTTGGGAATTATAATTTCTTATTACTAGAATAAAATAAAGCTGTACCGTGTTAATATTGTATACATTGATGGCAGTTACACACAGCTATCAGAATTCTGAATTATCTCAGATTTAATTTGGATTTTCTTACATAAAAAGACTAAATTAGTTTGACCTTGTGTGTCAACATGACCTGGAATAAAAGACAATGATAGGAAAAGGTGCTCGCCTCCTTTCAACGATGGCTGCCCACCGTGCAGTCCGGCCCTTCTGCCAGTGGGTGTGTCTGCGTCGCTGTGGGCAGAAGGGCAGTTGGCACCGGGGCTGGCAGCTTCACAGTCAGAGAACAGTCTGTCTTTCTGATCAGCCCACCTCGCCCTCCGAGCACAATCACCCTGTTATGTCTGAACCCTCCTTCGCCATGGCAACATCACATGATACCACTGAAAGAGCGAGAATCTTCATGCTGTGTGTGTGTGTGTGTGTGTGTGTGTGTGTGTGTGTGTGTATGCGTGCGCTACATGCCTGCTTATGCCAGTATTGCTTAATCCATGTTATTGCTGAAAACCTGGTTAAGCATATCATCAATCACGTGTCTTCTTATTTTTTTAGCTAAGGTCATAACATGCATAGGACAGAAGATGACGGAAAGGTTTGCATGCAAGTGTTTTAAGAGGACACAGAGGAAAACACACTTTGGGGAATCTGCTAGCTATCAGTGATAGAGAAAGAAGACAAAAACAGATCGAGCAAACTTCAAACTTGCCTTTTTTTAATTGTTTAATTTAAGCTGTGCCTTAGGGTCAGGGGGCCATTAAAGCTTGGGATAATAACCCAAACCATTTCAGCTCTTGGACTATTTTACAACCATCAGTTCGGTTTTACCTCAGTACTTAACCAGATTTTAACCATCAGGACGCAAAATACTTGAGGCTGCAATTATACGTTTAAATATTTGTGGCTAGTACACATGTATATGTATGCAGCTGGTTTCAGGGAACTTCTGTCTCCTGCCAAGTTTAG